ATATATATACATATATATAATATATATATTTTTTTTCTTTAGAGATGTTCCGTCAAATTACAAAGTTTTATTTATGCATGGTGGAGGAACTGGACAATTTGCTGCCATTCCTCTCAACATATGTCCCGAAGGAAGTACGGTAGATTATTTTGTAACTGGTGGATGGTCAGCCAAAGCTGCTAAAGAAGCAGAAAAATATTGCAAAGTTAATAAAGTTCTTCCAAAAACAGATAAATATACAGGTGTGTTTAAATTTCTCTTTAAATATTGTATTCATTTGTTTTATTCACTTACTTTAAATATCAGATTTATAACTAAAAATATAGTTTGATGATAAAATTCAGAAAATACCATTACAAAAATTTGATTTAGTATTGAACTTTTCATAAATATATACACTACTTATATTTTGGTATACTATATGCTAATTTCCTTCACAGCATATAGTGTTTCTTTGATTTAAAGAAAATGGATGTTAATAACTTAAGAACTATTTTATTTTACAGCTTTTCAGTTTGAATAGAACAGCCAAATATTTATTTAATTTTTCTTTATAAGAATACTTTATTTTTTGAGAGATGATCATTTTCTTTACATGATTTCTTAATTTATTATACAATATCTTTCAACAGAAAGAAATAAATCTGGAGTTGGAGATCAATGTCATAGTAAATTATCTAAAAATTATCAGCTTAACATTGTCATCTAATACAGTTGAACTTTGATTTAGTGCCACTATTCATCTCTGAAGATGGTGCTAAATCTGAAGTATCTCAAACAAGCTTTATATAGTAGTGATGTCTATACATGAGTTTGGGGAGCATCAGTCAGTGCTGTGTCTTCGTTACTAACTTATTTCTTTTTTATAGGCTAGGTGTAATTCATTGAACTTTTTAAATAATTATTCGAGAGAATTGTGTAACTTTTGTGTTGAGAAAGAAATTATAAATGCCTGGTATATTTTGGCTAAATGTGGATGTATTAGTGCTTTGTGAAAAAATTTTTGTTTGCGAAGTTCTTATCAGGGGCATGATTACTCTACTATAAATTTGGCATTATTGCTGTGTTGTTTGGGAGCATCTGTCAGTGCTGTGTTTTTGTTACTAACTTATTTCTTTTTATAGGTAAGCAATTTGCTTATTTTTGGTTGTTTTATTTTTATTTATTGGTATTTTGTATTCTATTGACAGATGCTCTCAAACTTTAAACTTGAGGTTTAAAATTAAAATGTAATAATTAAACTTAAATTTAAATTATTACTTATATAATTTACTATTGTGTAATTTTTGTTTGTGATCTTACATTCATTGTATCAAAACGTTTTGTTTTTTGGGAGACGGTATTGCTCCCTGCATCAAGGTGTGTATCCAGTATACATAATAAATAAATAAATATACATGAGTTTGAGTATGAAAGTCATATATGATTTGGTTATGATAGTTAAATTTGCAATTATGAATTGTAAATAATGATGCTGAATGGCTCTTTATGTAATATATTTATGGGAAATCTGTTCACAAGTATTCATAAGCATTTTGATAGTAGGAGATTAGAGAAAGAAGATTAGACAATTGCTGTATTAAGTTTGAATATATATTACTTTCAGCTTAAGCATTTCATTGGTTTAAATTTATTGGTAGCAATTAGCAACAGTTTATAACATTTTGTACATAATATTTCCTGTCTTGTCATTTATCTGTATATGCAGCTCAGATTGAAGCAGTTGGGACCTTATCAGAGCTGTACATCATGTCCAAAGTAGTAAAAATGTCAAAGGAACCTTCATGAAAATATAAAATATAAATTTTCGTCTACAAGTACGTATCTTCTAATATCAGGACTTATTATACTGCCTTTACAGATAATGCTACAGAGCTTCACAGAAAACAATTTTTTATTTTATTTAATATACCTGGACACATACATAATTTTGCGTTTCGGACACTTTTGTCCCTCCTCAGCAGGTATTTTAGTAGAATATTCTATATAAATTAAAAACAATAAAATAAATTTTAAAATTACATTTAACGTTTACCAACAAACTTATTAATAAAATTCTTACAATTTTCAGACTTTTTTCTTTTGTTTTTAACCATACTGGACATTCAATTTTAACCAACAAAAACATTATTATTGTAAACTTAAGCCTGTATTAAACAAATTATTATATTAATATTTTACATTATATCTGTTTTTTTTTACATTTATTTACTATTTTTTACAACTTGCATCTCTTTCTGTTCAATTTAACTAACTCCTCGTTTCAACTTCTTTCGATTGTTCTTTTTATCTTTCAGACACGCCCCTTCCTCTATAATTCTTCACCATGGTTCGTGCATTTCACTACCAGTATTACTATTTATTCTGTTATTTTGTCTAATTATATTAATATGTTCATAAAGTTCTCTTTGTAATTATTCTTTTCTTTTTTCCTTATTTTTATTGAATTTAATACTATTTCACAGCCTGTGGTATTAGTGCTCCGCTACTACTGAATTTGCATAATTTTTCTTGATTGCTCGGATGTGTTCATTTATTCTTATTTTTCTTTTTGTTTCCCCTATATATATTTTTTCTGGTTTACAATTACAATTAAAAGAATACACCACTCCTTTTTCTTCTAATATGTCATATTTTCCTTCATTTCTATAACATAAATGGTTTTTTGTTGTATTTACTTTTTCCAGTATTAGATTAATTCTACTGTTAAATACTTTTTTAATCTAATTTTAGATTAAACACATTAATTAGATTTTTAAACAAATTTTAGATAAACACAACAAATAAAAGTGTCCAAAACGCAAAATTATGTATGTGTCCAGGTATATTAAATAAAATAAAAAATTGTTTTCTGTGAAACTCTGTAGCATTATCTGTAAAGCCAGTATAATAAGTCCTGATATTAGAATATACGTACTTGTGTGGCTGTCCGCCATTTTGTATATACATAGTTATNGCAAAATTATGTATGTGTCCAGGTATATTAAATAAAATAAAAAATTGTTTTCTGTGAAACTCTGTAGCATTATCTGTAAAGCCAGTATAATAAGTCCTGATATTAGAATATACGTACTTGTGTGGCTGTCCGCCATTTTGTATATACATAGTTATAGTATTTAGATTTAGAATTTTTTGTTCTTTCCTTTCCTTCTTCTTCTTTCTACTAATGACCATTTCCGGTCATCCGACAGGAGCGGGAAATTTGTGGGTCCTGATTGGTGGCTTATCGACGTGAACAGGGAGGGGCCCTGTCCGTGGGGTACAGAAGGAGAACAAAGGGGTGAGAAAGACACTTTTTGCCCGGGCGACGAAGAGAGAGGTTGCAAAAGTATCGTCGGGACATTAAGTCGGACCTCTAGGACAAAGAACGAGCCGAACGTGCTGAGTATCGAGTAGTCCTAAAAGAAAGGAAAGGGACTAGTGACTTGCCCAATAAGAAATAGTGGCCCACAAAACCCAAGTGACAATTATCATACCAGGAATGTTGGATATTCCAATGTCGATCGACAAAATCCCCACAATCATCAGAAACCACAATCAGGACCTCCTGTGCTAAATACCGGTATACTTTTCCTTCCTTCATTTTCCTCTCCTTAGTATAGTGTTAGATTTAGTTAGCTATAAGTTAGTTATAAGTTAGTAATTAGAATCCGTATCGTGAGAACAACTCATTGTAAGAATCCGAACGAGAACAGAGACTTGTTATATATATCTACCTGTATGTGTGTCTCTGACGGGCATCACTGTATTACCTGTTAGTTCTGATCATAATAAACTATTGTTTAGTTAGTATTTGTTGGAATAATTGTCTCGTACAACATTAACCTTTCACACTTGTAGACGAAAATTTATATTTTAGTAAGTTAAGGACATTGAGGCATTTTAATTGAACCTTCATGAAGTTTACACTATTTTTGAAGCTCCTCAAAAATAATGTAAAATTTAAAAGTGAAAACTCCAGAACTATTTCTCAAAACAGTGCTAAAAATCAAATGTTTTCCACTTTACCAGAGATGGCTAAAAGCTCACAAAACTTGCACTGACTACTTCTGGGACATAATTGGAGTTGCACTGCACACTCCCTTAAACCTATCACATATTTAAAGGTTGAGTTTTGGTGGCCAAATCTCTTAAAGAGTCATATGTAGACCATCATTTCCTTTGACTTTTTTACTCCTATGGGCATGGTCTACACCAGCTACTACATTCAGAATTGCATTTGTTATATTACCCAATTTGACTTATGTTCTTGTCTCACTATTATTAATTAATTATCTGAGCACTATAAATAGCTCTTGCTAGGACTTATCATACACTATTGAGAAATCACTTAGAGACTGGTAAACATTAAACATTTATTTGTAACTGTGGCAACATGCTAGGAGAATGAGAAAATTTCTATTATTCTCCTAATGTATTGCCATAGTTAATATTTAATGTTCATTAGTCTCTAAGCGATTTCTCAATAGTGTGTGATAAGTCCTAGCAAGAGCTAACTCAGATAAATAACACAATCTGATATTAAATAACTGCTGACAATTGTCTATAAACTAGGCCAAATATGTTTGAGTATATCAATATTTAAGGTGGTGGTTTATTCTTATAAACTAAATTACAGCATAGATAGCATATTGTAGTGTCTCGGATATACCAGGATATACAGAGTCTGTGTGAAAGAGTAATGTAATGAGGACTTCACAAATTTTAGATAAACACAACAAAGTCAGGTTTATTAAAAACACACAGCCATAGACTACAGCTGGTATCTTTGACTTGTATACATGTATTATCACAGCCAATTAGTATGGTTACTTAACAAAGAGAACAATACCGATCAGAGTATTAAGGTGAATTCCTGTTTTAAATAATTACATTTATATAAAGGATGACAAACGCATGCTGTTGCATTTCTTCTCGGTTAATTTTTTTGTAGACGATTGTCTCATTCAACACACAGTAGTCTGTTGATCAAAACGTGATCACCCACATGTCTAGCAAATCTTGAGCATGATCCACACTTCCTATACTCGTATATAATGATTTCTTGAAGATAAATTCGGATTCCTTCGCCTTGATCGAACTGTTCCTTCTTCAGCTGTTCTCTCCAAGGTCCACCTTATTACACCTTCTCCTTTCCTTGTCCAGACAGGAGCTTGGAAGCCAGAAAAAAGTCCTCAAGCATGGGAAGCAGTTGAATTTATCTCCCACCATCCAGGAATGCCATTTTAGCATGTGACCACCCTTTGAACCAATTGGCAGATTCAGATCGGTCCAGCAAAGGAAAGGTGATACCAGGAAACCAGACAGAAGACAACACGAAATATTATACAAAAAGTAGCACCCGATACAAAATTAACAGAAACCTGCTTACATACTCAAATAACATATAAACATACAAAATAACAATATATAACACAGTAGCATAGCACTACAATGGCACTACAATNCTTTTGTTGACACATCGGACGCAATGACAACAATTTCGGTTTTCCTCCGATTGTCGTTCATCATCTCCTTTCGTTGCTTTCTGTGCGTCTTTCCCAGTGTGACGGCTGTGATCATCCTGCACGCGTATTTGGGGGAAAATTTTCTTAATCTTAAATTTGATTATATAAACTACTCAACCTTTGACAAATTCATCAGTGTTTCATTCGTGACAATGTTGTTTTTCCGTACAAAATTTTTTTTCTTTTTTTTTCAGTTCTACAGTTTTGAACTTGAAAAACGCGTTTCTATCCTGAACATTCAGAATCCACAATGAACCTTTTTTTTTTTACAGATGTGAGTTCATTTCGCGACAATTCTGTTCTCCCGAACGTTTGTATGTAACACATTTTTTTTTTTTTTGCATGGTGACCTCTCCCCTCAGAAGAGCTCACCATTTACATTGAGTAAATAGCCCGACGGNGACAGGAGCTTGGAAGCCAGAAAAAAGTCCTCAAGCATGGGAAGCAGTTGAATTTATCTCCCACCATCCAGGAATGCCATTTTAGCATGTGACCACCCTTTGAACCAATTGGCAGATTCAGATCGGTCCAGCAAAGGAAAGGTGATACCAGGAAACCAGACAGAAGACAACACGAAATATTATACAAAAAGTAGCACCCGATACAAAATTAACAGAAACCTGCTTACATACTCAAATAACATATAAACATACAAAATAACAATATATAACACAGTAGCATAGCACTACAATGTAATATATTACCCATCAATAAGAAATTTAAATAATATACTTATATTTAACTGAGACATTTAGATTTTCAATAAATCAATAACATTAAAAATATTTAATTCATAAAAATAAAATCTATAAAAGGAAAAAATATTCAAAATATGAAAATATTAATAAATTTTGTGAACTCCAATAAAGTAGATTTTTAAATTTAAGAAATTTGAGTTTTATTCATTATTTATTTGAAAACATTAACAACTAATCATTAAAATCTGTTACATTTAAGACATTGTATATATATTGTGATGTTATAAAATATAAAGGATTGAAATGAACAAAGACTTTTTCAGTGACTTTTTTAAAATTTAATTATAAAATTTATTGATAATAAGAGTTTAATTCTTTCCTTAAATTTTAATGTTGTCACTCAGGAATTGCCGATCCAAGTACTTGGAAACTCAGTCCCAATGCAGCTTATGTATATTATTGTGCTAATGAAACAATACATGGTAAGCTATATTGTGATTTTGTAAGTTATTGATTTTTTTTCACTTTGAATTATTTGTAATTTTTTTTTTTTTTATCAAATAGGTGTAGAATTTCATTCAATCCCTGAAATATCTCCAAGCATACCTCTTATTTGTGATATGTCATCAAATATTTTCACAAAACCAGTAGATGTTTCTAAGGTAATAAACAGGATAATTAAAAATAAATTTTTAATATTGATAATTTTCAATTCTTACATCAGTACTTCACTAAGATTCTCAATCATTAGTTGTTACTAATTTGGTAAAATTACTGATATTTGTTTGTTTCAAACTATGGACTGCTAATGCACTTAAATTCAAGTTTCAAATATTATGGGATTCTGAGATACGATAAATCTGAGTTCAATTTTTTTTTTTCAAAACATAAATGATGTTATATGAAAATTCCTAAAATATAAATATTTACTGAAAAATAGCATTTCAGTTACCCCTGTACCTCTTTGTAAACCACGTTTATGGTACTGCCTTTCGGGGCTAAGACTTTTTAAGCTTTAATCCTCTCCCTCTCCCCCACGGGGGAATTTTGAAAAATCCCTTCTTAGTGTGCATTTTCATGACATATCCTAACTGTGTACCAAATTTCATCTCTTTAGGTTTAGCAGTTTGTTCTGGGCAATGATGAATCATTCAGTCAGGACATGTAATTTTATATATATTATGCATTTGGTTTTATTTATGCATATGGGTATAAATATTTATTTAATGAGAAATACTTTTAAAAATACTTTACATCATAAGAATTCAATGTGAGGTATGAGCTTGCAAAGAGCTCATGCTTGCTTCTATGTTCGGATCCATATTGGAAATCACAAGCCGTAAGTCATCCTTTGTCTGTATTAGGTAATAATATAGACAATTGTTTTCGTAAAAAAAATATATGCTATTTTTATAAATAATATAATTTCATTTCACTGTTTTACTAGTACCTGATACTTGTTGAAGAAAAAGCCTTATATTTTTTATTATCAAATAAATAGTGAGGTTGAGGCCGAAGTTTTAAATGCAAAAACATGTATGTCGGACCTTCAGCGCCGCTTCCCTGTAAGCCTAGAAGTTTGACAATGGTGTTTGGAATGTCAAGCATGATTTCACTGACTATCCAAACACCATTATCAAATTTCTAGACTTACAGGAAAGTGGTGCTGAACGTCCGACATATATGTTTTTACATTTAAAACTTCGGCCTCAACCTCGCTAATTTCTTTGAATTTGCTTTGTGCACCACTGCTCTAGGGGACCTGGGATAGAATCCAGGAAGATTGAAAAACCCCAGGAATTTTTCAGGGATATGTCAGGGATATGTCCTGGATATGTCAGGCCCTATCTCTCATTATGTTCTTGCCCCATTCTGGCTTGACCAAACCCATGATAGGCTTGTAAAAAGGTCCTCTTAATGCTCACACAGTAGAGTAAAGAATATATAAACCAAACAAAAATAAATAATAGCTTATAAATTCCATTATATAATATATATACTTTTATTGCACTTAATTCTAAAATTTCTATAACAAAAAAGATCTCAGAAAGTTTATATATGCTTTATTGTTCATATTTTTTATATTGTAATTGCAATTACAGTTCAAATCAATTTCAAATTAATTTAATTTTCTAAAATACTAATTTCTATTATTTCAAATTCTATATTTGGTTTTTCTAAGTAAAAAGTATGTTGAATATTTAAAATATGTTTTTATATTTCAGTATGGAATTATATTTGCTGGTGCGCAAAAAAATATAGGAGCTGCTGGTGTCACACTTGTTATAGTGAGAGATGATTTAATCGGTAAAACAAGAACAGTCTGTCCATCAATCTTAGAATATAAAGTGAATGCAGAAAATAAGTCATTATATAATACGCCAGCAACGTTTAGGTGAGATTCTTTAAATGTTACTCAAAATATATAACAGAAATAATTGGTGTGAAGGAAATCATTTTTTGAGAGACTAATAATATAAAAACAAGAAAAAGGTGGCATTAAAGCAATGGAGAGAAACAGTATTCGAAAATCGAAATTAGTTTATGACACCATAAAAGAATCAAAAGGATTTTATTAGTAAGTTTTAAATATAATGTATTGTAAGAAGTTTGAATTGTCTATTAAGTCAAATGTTATGACAAATCTAGGTCAAATTGGATCAAGTAACCCATAAAGATGTCAGATAAAACATTCCTATTTATTTGGAATATTCAGGGCTATTTTTCAGCCAAAATATGCAGATATGCCATACTGATAGTTGCTGAGTATAGTGTATACTGTGTGTTCAGTTACCATTTATGCATACTAGAAGTAATTATTTTAGGAAAAAAGTACTGGTTATATAATAAGAATTATTAAATATGATTGAAATTTTAATATCTAACTACAGTTCACATTAATCTAACTCAGAGGTTCTCAATCTTTTTGAGGTGTGAAACACTATCCATATACTTTTTATTACACAAAGCATTAGCATCAATATAAGCAAAAATCAATTAAGTAATTCAATGTTTACTATTTTCATGAAACAACAAATCAATAAACTGATAGTTTATTATTTTAATCAATACAGTAAACATGGAATTGTCTACGAATAAAGTAATATGCTTTAATACATTGAAATAAATTTGCAAGAAAAACTTTAAAATCTCTTTTTCATGAACACTCAAGACAAATTTGCAGAACATGGGTTGAGAACTGATGATTTAACTAGTGTAAAGGTAATTAACCACTGATGTAATTAAATTAAATACTTCAGTAATTTATTTCTAAATTATAAATTTAATACAGTGGTCCCATCAAAAGTGCCCAATTTGATTGACCATTAAATTTTTATAGCCAAAAGATATACAGTAGAACCTCGATTATCCGGACTAATTGGGGATGAAGGTAGTCCGGATAAGAAAAAATCCGGATAATCGAAACAAACACTTTAATTTGTCTTTTAATGATAATACAACACGTTTTCTTTTCGATGACATATCGGCAATATTAAAAGTAAATACTGTATTTAAATCGTGATCAAATTTTCAAGAAACAAACATTCATATTGAATTTGGACTACTACTGACCAACGCTAACAGACTACCTACTGTTTAAAAGGCCCTCTAGTGGCGCAAGAAGACGGATTTTATAAAATAAAAAGCAGTTGAAACTGCAGTTTTATGAATAAAAATTTGATAAACTATTTATCGTTTTATGACGAGTAAAATTTTTTCGTCGCGTTCGCGGCTTTTAAGTAATGCATAAACCTTCGAGGCGCGAGGCCCTTCGGACCGCCAGGCATAGGCGGTGGCCCACGTCGTCCATGCCTTACGCCGCCCTTGGTCATAGAAATGATGTAATTTGAATATAAATTATTTATAAATACGTATGTCAAGTTATATTTTTATTACTACGTAAAATATATTTAAGAGTTTACGACCACTGTGATGGCTGAGACGTTGTTGAAACAAAAAAAGTTATGCATTCCATCATGAACATAAACAGTGTCGTAATTCGCCAAGTGCAAATCAGCAAATTCGTAAAATTTTTGTTTATTTTGAACAATCCGGATAATCGAAAATCCGGATAATGGAGGTCCGGATAATGGAGGTTCTACTGTAATTTCACCAAAGATTTTATATGAAAAAAAACTTGCTAAATTTCATTGAAAAATCAATACATGTCTGAGTTTTTCTCTCATATAAAATCTTTGGTACAATTACCTGCTATGCATGCTGCAGCATGTCCTTTCCCACAGCGGCAATGGCTACAGTGATGTGCTCCCGAAGGTCTCTGATCAAAGTTGCATAAACCATATTTTCACATAACCCCCACAGAAAGAAATCTAAGGTGGTCAGATCAAGAGATCTTGACGGCCATGCTATAAGCCATACTAAACCACACTCTGCTGTTTCTCCTGTGGCGAAGACATGACTGAACAATAATGCTCAGATTCAACTTCTGCACCATCTTGCAGAATGAAAAAATCTCTATAAAACCTGATGAGTTTTCTCATCAGATGCCATTTGTTGCTTTTATATATCTTAAACCATTCATTTTTTTTAATGGAGAATTAAAATTGGGTACTTTAGAGCAGAACATCCTATATATTGTTAATAATAACAAAAACAAAGACTATATTATACAAAAACAAAAATATATTGTTATTATATATTAATTTGGCATCCTATTGATTACATCCTATATATTGTTATATAATAGTATAAAAAGTAATTAAATTACTTTTTTGATTACCTATATTTAAAATTGTTAATTATTTCCCTGCAGTCTTTATGTTTGTGGTTTGGTATTAAAGTGGATTAAAGAAAAAGGTGGCATTGAAGCAATGGAGAGAAACAGCATTCGAAAATCGAAATTAGTTTATGACACCATAAAAGAATCAAAAGGATTTTATTAGTAAGTTTTAAATTTGTAGTTAAATTGATAAACTAGTTTATGCTGGAGGGTTCTTTCAGATTAATAAAGAATTGTTGATTCCTAGAAGAACATTTTTTGTTTTACTCTATCCACAACTAAGCTATTTAAATTTTTCTATAGTTTTAGTCTTGAAACATATTCATTTTAATTATACTGTAATACAATGATGAGAATAAAAATTAACCAAATGATTATATTTTCAAAATTATCAAGCTCTCATATTGAAGAAACAGCACGTAGTAGGATGACAATTCCATTTAGAGTCGGTGGTCCCAATGGAAATGACGACTTAGAAAAGAAATTTTTAGCAGAAGCTCAGAAGAGAGGAATGTCTGGTCTTAAAGGACATAGGTAAATTATTGTTAACTATTGATTTTTATTTGATTGCAATAGTGTTGATATTTGGCCAAATACCATATCTTATAGTTTTTCACATAGTTCTGACTATATGAAAAACTAATAATATATACTACTATAATTAATTAGTTTATGATAACTTGGGGTATACAGTAGAACCTCGATTATCCGCCCTAATTGGGGACTGGGGTTGGTCGGATAATTGAAAAGTCGGATAACCGAAAAGTATGAAAAAATCCATTATTAGTGTAGTATATTATTATATCCCATGTAATTAGTATATTAGTATATCGCTATTAACCTATTTTGCGTTGAATTTTCATCGATGTTAAGCCTAACAAAAATTTTTTAAAATAATAATCGTCGCTATTGTATCGTTAAAAATTAGAAAATTAAGCTTCGTTTAAATACTGGCTCCCTTTCATGGTCGAATGAGTGTTGCCAGCTAAAACACGTAAAAATAATATTAAAGTAGCCAAGACATAGCCAAATATTGTAGCGCCACATCACTAGCGGACATTTGAAATTTGCCGACTAGGACGGTCGGTTAACCGAGGGGTCGGTTGATCGGGGGGCGGATAATCGAGGTTCTACTGTACTTTCTTTTAAGGATAGTTTCTCCTTTGATGCAATAGTTAGTGTTTTTTTTCATGATCACTCTATGGTTGTTTTGGTTTACAGTTTAGTTTTTTACTTTGTTTCAGGATCTTTTGAATTGTTTTTAGTGTTATTACTGTACACATACACACAGATATATTTAAATATAATATATTGTCATATGGCTAAAATGAAAAGCTTAATATTGAAATAATACTGCATTAAAATAATAATTTTATTAATGTAGCACAGTGTTTCTCAACCTCTAACGAATCGTTGCCCCTTTCAATAAAACCATTACGTAGTATTGCCCCCTTCACTTCAAAATTCCGATGCCGAGGGCCAAGGCTAATGCCAAATTTGTACTGCATTGAATAGACTAGTGACTAGTATAATGTTATTTGTTTAATTATTTTATGATATAACGAATAAAATATCTAATTATTCTTACTATAATGTTTTACTATATCACCCAGAAATTTGTTTTTCGTCCCCCCAAAATATAAATTATTACTAATCACCCCTCAACATGGAAAAACGCCCACATGGGGGCATTAGCGCACTCGTTGAGAAACACTGATGTAACACTTCAGTTCCTTTTAAAACAAACTTTGCTTTGAGCCAAAACATTGAAATACATTCCATACAGTAGAGAAGCTATGAGAGATCATTTTACAGCTGATTTATGAAATTGAGATTGAATAAAAATCAACTTTAATTAATATTAAACATAATAATTAGATACTTGTAAAGAACTATTCAAGTATGTTGATATTACAAGAAGTTTTATGAATATAGTTATAAAATTTACATAGTAATATAGTAAAATATTAAATGGTGTGAGATATATGGATGAAATATATGGGTAATGTCCCACATCCATAAAATGATAATTGTGCAGTAGTTGTTTCAATTACAAAAATATCTTTATTTATGATATGGGACATTATTATACAAAAGAACAAGATCAGAAGTGTATCCTATAAATTTGAAAGATTTCTAAAAGTTCTGCAATTTTATTGATGAATTAATTTAGTCCCATATTTATTTAAATAAAACTAAAACCTGAAAATGTTATATTATCTCTGAAAATAGTTTGTGTCTATGAATCTGATGCCATTAAATTTAAGTAATGTCATAATGACATTTTTAGGCCAATATTTGTAATAGTGAATACCTAAAAAGTTAACTTATCTCAATCTCACTATTCTATTATAGTAATGTCATAAATACTTGAATGAAAATTCCATAAAAAGTTGCATCACTGAGAATCATTATGAGTGAGATGCGAGCTTTGAATAGTGTTGATCCCTAAGAACCTAATATAGAAAATGAAGTGATTTCTGACTTCAGCTTTATGAAAGACAATGATATAAAAAATTTAATCAACTTGCAATAAATTTGTCTCAAGTTCTCTATTTTTTAAAAAGAAAACAAATCCATGATTCAGAATACAGAAATTAGGATGCATCTTAGATTTGATGATGTCTTATATTTGAATAAATATAGAATATTTATCACAATTACAGTTAGAAATATCATGTATATGACATAAGATTTCCTCTCCATTTAACAGTTGAACCAAAAACGTCAAATAAATTACATAAAAATTATTTTGATCATAATCAATTAAATAGGTTTTTTCAAAAATACATTAACGCTTACAAGGAGAGTGTTCCTAATTACTATGCATAATAATAGTGTAAAATGTTCAACGCAGAAAGGAAAAACACATAAAAGTGTTTACCAATTAAAACAAGTTTAATTTTGCGATGAAATTTATATATATACAGATTAGGTGTGGATTCCCGCTGTCTCCTTTTTGACGTTTCCAACAATCCTCAATGAACAGATATAACAGTAAACCGGTAGTTAACTCCTCTATAACTACCTCCCGACAATTAATTTACACGCATGAGCCTTAACCTACTTAAAACTAATAGATAGAATAGGAATAAAGGGAAATGAGAAGGATCAAAGGACAGAAGGGTACCCAAATTTCCAGTGACGGTTCTCAACCGTTCCTCATCGCAGCTTCCCACGCTCATGTGTTCTCTTCTTAAAACAACCAGGCTCCTTTTGGGGTTTTCCTCCAGATTTGTCAACCGGATTCTCCTATCAATCCATTCCTTACGGCCCCTTTCTACAGTGCTCTCTGATTTCCAATTCACGAGCTTGCTACCGCATGTCTATCTCTCTTCGAGTCCGGTCTCAGAATAATTCTGGAATATCTCGTTTTCCCCTCCAGCCTCGTTGCTGTCTATTGTTCTAACCTTACCCCCTGATGGGTTAGGGGTGAGTTGAGTTCTCGGAAGTCTGAGACAAAGGAACAAAGAAATCGGAAAGAATTATTATTCTACAGAAATAGAATTTAAATTAAAACTAAACTATACAGAATAATATAAAAAAGAAAAAATAAACAGGCGTGTAGCCACAGTAGCACTGTAATTTATCATGTAGAAAAAACTATACAGAGAACATCCTGCTATTACAAATCTAGCACAAGTTACTTCTATATTAATGTTTTAACATGTTTTTGAAATACTCAATAACTATGAATAGTATATAATATAATGTTTATTTATATAAACATCAACAACTCATAGCCCGAGTAGTAAATACATCACCAAACGATCGCCTAAATATCGGGCTATAATATGGCTAATTAAATGATTGGAATAAAGTAATTTGACACTAGAGGTAGACGTTAGGCGCCATCTCTTAATTAAATTAATAATTAAAATTAAATAAATAAATCAATAAATAAATTCTGGGCCAGTTCTTTTATTCTAGAAGATTCTAAATTTATTTATTGATTTATTTATTTAATTTTAATTATTAATTTAATTAAGAGATGGCGCCTAACGTCTACCTCTAGTGTCAAATTACTTTATTCCAATCATTTAATTAGCCATATTATAGCCCGATATTTAGGCGATCGTTTGGTGATGTATAATGTTTATTGTTTAGAATGAATTATTTTAACTATTTTTTAAATCATGAATATTTCAAAATAACTCAACTTTTTCTGTATATTTCACAGATCAGTAGGAGGTATACGAATTGCAGTATTCAATGCTATGTCTATAGAAGAAACGCAGCAACTTATTTCATTTATGAAGGACTTTGCATCAGAACATAACCATTAAATTTGAAAAATTTTAGTTTGTTTTTGAACTTATTTTTTAAAACATTCCAGCTTTATTTGATTTTTATACACGCTTCCTCGACTAATACAAAATTTGATTTTAAACCAATTTGAACATAATTCTAAATTGCTGTAAAATTAAATTGAATTAATTATTAATTCAATTACTTGCATTATCTTGAGTCTGTATGCGGCAATCTTTTTTTTAAAGTAGATATTGCTGATATGGAATCATTTTTTAAAAATTAATTAATATATGTTAATCTTAAAAGATTTTTATTTACCTTGTATATAAAGTAATAAAATTCTATGCAATATTTTCAGATTAAATTCTGTTATTTGCATGTATAATTTGTTTTTTTTTATACCTTTTGATACAAAGAAAGACACTCAAAAAATATAATTTCCTGTAAATATTTATTTTAAGGAATAATTTTTAAAAATGTCAATTTAAATTGACTATAATTTTTTTACTTATTGGTATTAGTCTAGGGTGAGATGTGTATTAAAAAAAATTTACTTTTGATGTATAAAATATTCCGTTAAAATATTGTAATTTTTTAAAGTTTTTTAAAAATATTTTTTAAATTTTATATGAAGAAATTTGATTAATTAAATAAACTGCTATAATCTAAAATAAAATGTAGTGTTTGATTTTACTGAAGATAAATTTAATAATTTAAATAGTTTCCAGTATATTACTAATGCCAAACAAACTGCCGAATGCTGCAACAAAGCAAATTTAGTGACAATACTGCCTACCTGTAGCCAAATTACTTTATATCTAATCATTAAATTAGCCTTGTTACAACCCAATGAATAATCTAGCAGCTTTTTTGGCATTTGTAATTGTTTGATATACGTTTTCAGTATATATTTGACTAAAAATTAGAGGTAAGGAATGACTTAATTCTATAATTGCATAATCATTAAACCAAAAGATTTTTATGCTTGTGTTAAGTCTGTTAATGATGATACTGTTATTTATTGCTCTCAGAATTAACATTATTGTGCTTATTCCTGACAATAAGATTGCTTGAGAGAATGATTCACACAATAGCACACAATGAAGATAGATTTCCAGGCTTTATTAATTCTAAAGGATATTCATTTCAGACTATATATCCATTATTAGTGCTCTTTATTTTACATCTTAATGTAAAATAAAGAGCACTGATGACAGCTGTACATTCTGAAAATTATAATATGAGAAAGTAAACTAAACACAACACTTGTAAAATATGAATATTTTGATGTGTTATATGTTCTGTTTACTCACATTTAAAACAGATTTTAATGTCATTGACAGAGTTTTTCTCCTTATTTTTATAGTTATATTCCTAAAGGAATTAGGTTAATGCTAAAATATTTTTGAGTTGTGTTGTAAGATAATAAATTTTCATTCAACATGTTATTTGTTCATTACTTAATACAGTAGAACCTCAAACTCGGCCTAATGTGGACCGAAGGGTGGCCGAGTTTGTGAGAATGCCGGGTTATCGGGAATGGGATTAAAAAAAATAAGTACAAGTGTTTCCTCAAAAAATACTGTACTGTACTTGTATGTATTGTTTACTTGAGAATATAACAGAGAATAAACTGCCCAAATACCCTTAAACAAAGGAAAAGTACGTCCTTTATGAAGGCATAGAGCCTTTACTACATGAAAATGAAAATTAATGAATACACTGTGTACAGTAATTTACCTGATAAGACAGACCTCAGAAAAATACTTTATGAGAGCTTTTATACTTTTATAAAGCTGTCTATAATGAAAATTAATTAACTAAG